TGCAATTTTTCGTTATTTGAAGCCCCACCCTGGCTTTTGCCAGGACCTGAAATATGGTCAAACGGCTGAACAGGGTTTCTGTGACCTCTCACGGGTGATCCTCATCCGCATGGTGGCACTTTGTGTCACCCGGTGTTTATCTCTTGTGTGATGTCCTGGTGGGGTAAAAGTACATACATACATACTCTTAACATTTGAGGCACAGTCCATAACAACTGCAATCATGCAACCTGGCATATAATTCTTCTTTTTAAGCATTTAGTGTACACATCACATATTATTTTGAATATATTATGTTTATGCGTTACTGAGAATACAATAAAAACAATTATTATTATTATCAGTATTAAGCACACTTAAACAGTTGCGACCCTACCTCCTGCAGGAAATGTTTAATGTATCTTTGATCCCCCCTCCCCCCCCCCCCCACCCCCACGTCCAATGTTATATTACTGCCGGCACTCCTGATTAAACCATAGAAGTGAGGTGTCTGAGAAAGACTGTAGGAGTAACCAGAAGATATACAATCAGGAATGAGGTCATACAAGATAGAGCCAGAACAGAACCAATTCTAAATTATATACAAAAAAAGCAAATCAAATGGTTTGCCCACTTGGAGTGAATGTCTTTTGATGATATACCATGCAAGGAAATATTATAAAAAGAGGAGAGGGACGTAGAACAAGGGGTAGACAAAGAATGAGATGGGAAGATAACATCAGAGAAATGTGCCTGTGGTCAAATCATCCAGAAGAGCACGAAACAAGTACCTTATGTCTCCCTCGACACCCGAAGCGGTAAAAAAAAAGACATTAAGAAGAAGAAGAAGAAGAAGAAGAAGAAGAAGAAGAAGAAGAAGAAGAAGAAGAAGAAGAAGAAGAAGAAGAAGAAGAAGAAGAAGAAGAAGAAGAAGAAGAAGAAGAAGAAGAAGAAGAAGAAGGAGAAGAAAAAGAAGAAGAAGGAGGAGGAGGATGAGACTCCTGGTTAGAGGAAAGTCTCTCTTTGCATCTTCTTGTACTGAATATAGTGTTTAACAGTCAGTGCCTGTGTAATGGTGAATTGCAGTGATGATACGGAACAACGATTGCGCCTTCCACAT